TATAATCATGAAAAAAAAAAAAAAACATCTGATTGGAATGACCAAATAACTGATGGAAAATATACTTTCGTGATACGTGCTGTTGAAGAATCTTAGAAATACCTTCCAACTTACCTCATAAAAAATATAAACATATTTTGTACATACAGAAATAGAAATTGATCGACTAATCTTGAAATTATTCATCATCTGTTAGTGTGACTAATTAACGTATTAATTTAATCATGATATTTTCAAATAATAGAATGAACTTTCTTTTAGCCTGTCATTTAAATATACACTATTAAAAATATATATTCAGTAGGATTTACATGTTCCAATATGTTCTCGAATGGAACGAGAAACAACAGAACAAGTTAGACAACTTTTGAGCAAGATTACAGTTCGTTAACTTCATATTTCATACAATCCATCAATGTACCAATATATGTCATTATAGGTTTCAGTACATCTCTATTGAACCTTGTATAAGAGAAACAACACAATCCATATTACATAAGTTTTTTTTTTATTTTTCCACGAAGGGTTTTGTTGTGATATATGGATTTCAAAAGTCAGCAGTCTTATCAGCATCCATCAAAGATGAACAATTTTCTTTTGCATATTAACATATCAGTGAATTCAATGAAAATCATCTGTTCATACTTTCAGCCACATTTTCACTTGTTCTGCTATAACTATTATGTTCATGTTCTTTATTTCTAAAAAAAAAATAATAATGAAAGAAAAATGAACTATTGCAGAGAGGATAAAATCAGACAGGAAATCTTGAATTTAAAATATCTTTTTAAGATGAATAGTAGTAAAAATTACAAAATCAAAATTGAAATTAATAGTTTGCATTTTTCATTTTTATTCTTTATTATGAAAATGATATTAGGCATCAATAATATTAGACTACCTCAAATTATGGCAGTATGAAATGACGAAAGTTATGCAAAAATATTCCGGTAACAGTATTATTTTCATAAAATATTTATTACTAAGATATGTCTGTAGTATGTTTTATATTAAAGTTATTCATTAACTAAAAATCTTTAATGCATATTAATAACGAAGCGTCGATAGCAATGCGAACTCTAACGACAAGGCCTGGGCAAAGAGAAAATTTGGACTTTCTCAATGAATTTGTTCTGCAGGAAACGATTTTTTTTTTCTGCAGGAAATGAATTTTTTCTGCAGGAACTTCTGGATCCAAATCGTTTGCAAATTGCAGATCTCTGCAAACTACATCGTCGCGGTAACAACAGAAGACATCCTCCCCCCATAAAAATTACTTTGATTTAATAGATATTGAATATAAACAGTAGATTAAAATGTTGTTTGTTAAAATGTGCACATTTCAGACTGCAACTAACATACGACGTTATGTGACGTTAGAGTCTAGACCTTTCAAATGTCACGTGCAGTTTGAAGATTAGGATCTACTCGCCCGTGCGGTTGCACCGTCAAGATTTTTTAAATCCAAAAAAATATTTTAAAATTAGTTTGGCCACCATTTTACAACTTATACATGTTATAATACACCCAAAAATAATTTGCAGTAGGCCTATATACATAAAATTGAAACTGTTGGTCCTTATATTTTAGAGATCTTTTCGGAACCACTACTTCCTCTTGACACATTACTGGAACGTTTTGAGGTGTAACTACAATCCGAGTGTAATTCACACTCTTCCCGATTTTGATTATCATCTGACTCATAAAGATTTGTCAAACAGTGTACATCGTCATAGTTATTTGAGTACTGAGGACGGAGTGATTGGGTCCCCCAGCAGGCTTCCATCTCAGAAGGATCGATGTTTCTCCTTAAGGATAGAATACTGTATTGGAAACATTCACCTCCATTCCCATATCTGTTCTCTTGCTCATAATTCCCAGTTCCATTTTCTGGATTGGTTTTATTCGAGTGTTCCAAGTGTCTGAAGTCGTTATTACATCTGTTGATGATATCGGTTTCATTTTCTTCTATGTATGTCAGAGAACGATTACGTTCGGGCAAATCACAAACGTGACATTCAATCATTTTAGAAAATCGTAATTCATCATAACGATTTTCCTCGTCTGCGTCCATTCTGTTGAGAGGACCTTCAGATGCTGATGACCCAGGTTGTTGACTTCCTTCAATTGCGACGGCTAAGGTCAATAAAAAAGATTGAAAATTTTCCTGCACTTTTAAACATAATTGATTTATCTCTTTAAAGAATGCATCTCAAGAAAATTCAGCTGACACCATAGAGATCTTTTAGGGACAGTTTTGATATACTGTAAATCACTTCATTCGCAAGATCTTTATTTTCTCGTAATTACACGAATAAAATACATTCTCGCGTATAATTGTATCTTAGATATAGAGATGTACCCACAATATGTGGGAAAAGGGTGTCGACTATGGTATTACATATTTTTTTTCTCTTAAAAAAAATATCATTTCATTTTTGGAAGACTCTTTTACGTAAGACCTTACCTCCTGAGTAAGAATTTCCGGTATTTCGTAAAGGATCTCCACAAAATCTCTTTATCCTAAGAAAAAGATAGTATTACGCCATTTTTATAGTATCCAATTATTACTCCCTCCTTACGTTTATGTGTTAATTTTGATCTCAATTTCACTAATTTGTTAAGTGAATTCGACAAACACGTTTAACGCACATAAGCTTCCTAAATTGACAGTTAGAAGGCAACATATAGATAATTTTATTAAGATCAATACATCTTGCAAGGGAGTATTAAGATCACTAAAATATATAAAAATCTCAAGAAAAGTTATATTTTTATTTCATTTACATACATCACACACACACACACACACACACACACATACACCCTCACACACACACACACACACACACACACACACACACACACACATACGTGTACAACCGCAATTCTCACTACACGAGGTTTTACACCTGAAAGTCACTACACTATGTTCCAGCAATGCTAACAAGATAAACAGACCATAACTGTGATTCTATGGGTCTTTGTATATGCAAATGAGGTTCAGAAAGATGAAAATTCAAATAATGAAAAAATGATTTTTCACCTAAAAGTCACTACATTTGGTCACGTGATTTTGCTCAATCACACACCGGAAGTTGACAAGTCACTACATGGCTTTACCAGGACACACACAGGAAACTCAGTACATAAACACTCTTGTAAGATATTATACAAGAAAATCACTACATTCAGTAAATTTTGAATGCGTTTCCCGTAAAAACACCAATTTTTCCAAAAAATTGTCGAAAATACATGACAATGTCTGCATGAAATCTGTATGCTATAGAAAAAAAAATTGTCAAAGGATATCCGATAAAGTTAAAAGATAAAAAAATGGCTTTCAACATCTGTATATTGATTAAAATAAAGCAAATGAAATGAGAAGAATAAATTAACAGTCATAACAAAGATTTAAAAGTATTAACGGCCAGGCACGTAACATCGTTTTTGAAAGTCGGGGGGGGGGGGGGGGGGGGGGCAGAAAATACAACTTAATACCCGAAAATCTTTGGCAAGCAAGAGAAATAGGTTAACTTCAAAAAGTCGAAAATCCTATTGGTGGGTTGAACTTTTGTGAACCCTCCAAAAAATTTCTTTACAATAAAATGACCGCATTTAAATACATAACAAAACAGTGTGTGTATGGGGGGGGGGGTGTTAATGAACACTTTCACAGTAAATTAAAAATAAAATTTTAAGTTTGAAAAAAGGAGGGGCCAAGCTACCCCTCCCCTCTGCTTTTACGTCGCTGACGGCAATGAATTGCCGAGTGTGCGTTGATTCAAGACTTGCTTCGTCAAGAATATTCGTTTTGGGTTTTTTTTCTGTTGCATTGAGTAACACAAGTAGAAATTGAAAATCGTTCCCCAATTTTAAATGCGATCATTATGTTTTTTATGATCTTAAAGAGTTTATTTTTTTCTTAACAAAAATTTTATAGGATTACAAATTACTTAACTACTGTTCATGTAATAACATCTCGTTCTTTTTTATCTGGATGACACCACAACCAGCATTCAAAGGAAAATTTACAATAGTAATATAGTATATTCAGAAAGGGGGGGTAGCCTCCGCGTTCTACGGACATGAAATAAGGGGAAAAATAATGATCCCTCTTATTTATTCTTGCAATTTAATGACTTCAAAAAACTGAAATTACTTTGGTGGGGAAAGTCCACTTCATTGTTTTTTTTATGCATAACATTCTATCATTTCATATTCATCATTTCATTTTCCAATTCAGCATTTAAAAATCCCATTGCTCAAATATGTTGGTCTCTAAAACCATGATTTTTTACGAAATGCAGTTCATACAGCACCCTTTAGTTTTCTTATCCCTTTGCTCAAATGTTTTACAACATTTTGAAAGATCAAACAAAAAAGACGGTTTGTTTGCATGAAACAATTTAATTGCATCAACTATACAAAAAAGTACATAAAAAGAAGGCTGACATGAAATAAGATACACATGTATAAGCCAAGTGTTAATAGATAATTCTTGCTGTTAATTTTTAAGGTATCCAAAATAAGTTCATTTTCACAGAACAACCAAGGACAATCAGTCAGTATTTGTGCAAAATATAGTGGCATTTTCTTAGTGCATTAAACAACATACAAGTTTCGAAATAAAAAAAAAACTCTTTAAGATTAAAGCTGACAACCAAGCAAGAAATATAAATATCATGCAGTTAATAACTTCATGTGTTTAAAATGCAACAAAAGGCCCTAGGCTTTGACTATTACCTGAGTATTATGAATTTCTCAGGCTGTGGTCATTTCAAAACCGCCTGGATCTAGAAATCTAGACCCATGCAACAAAAATCGTAAATTTTCACAAGAATTCTATATTTATTATCATATTGATGCAGCTGAACTCCTAGAAGTTCAAAAGTAAAGAGGATAAGGTATACTGGCTAATACTGTATAAAACATTCTAATTTATGACTAACTCTGTCTTTTCATGGGCCTGAAACATGAAGAAGCATTCAATTAGAGGGCTAAGCATTAATTAAGATTAATTTTAGAGGTCCATGTTTGCTCTGCTACGAATATGGATTATTCTAATGGACTTTTGAGTTTGATTACTATTCATAATCTTCATATTTAATTTTATGCCTGCTAGTTTGCCTGCTAGATGTTCACCAGTAAAGGATTTTTTAAAACTTCAATTTACAGCCCATAGAAATGGTTTCAAAAGTAGGGGGGACTTTAAAAAATATCTGACAAGCAAAAAAAAACATTATTTACTGAACCGACCTTATTGCAACAAAAAGAGGGGGGGGGGGGGGGAGGGGCAACCAGGATATAAAGGATACTTTACTATAGCAAAATACTATACTCAGAAAAAGTGGGGGGGGGGTCTATGGGCCTGTTGCAGTGTCAATATAAATAGGTAAACCTTGCATGAACAATGGGTCATGAGCAATAAATTTCACAAATTTTGGTTAAAAAATAATTACTTGCTTAAATTATGCAAACAGCTGTCTGCTACATGTCCATGAAAAAAAATTTATAGGATATATTTTTTCAATATTCAGCTCCATCCTGAACCTATATGCAAAAATGAATCTCACAATTTTTTGTACTTAAAGAGCTATGGGCTTATATGATATGCATACCATCAACTGCCTGCTGGCAAAATTTCTCACAAAAGAGACATGAATGTTTTTTATTATCATAGTTCCCAGACGATGTTTTTGGCCTCTAAAAACCTGGTCTTTCGCTTCTCTGACTGTGGTAAAACTTTGCTGACATCATCATGATCATCTTCACATTCACTCTCCTTTTCGCTGTCACTTGCAAGTGCAGCTTGTTTCTGCTGCATTTCAGATTTGAGAGGCTTACTGGGCATATCTGAAATTATTATATATGTACATGTATTGACAAAAGGGATTCATCTTTATTTTTATAGAAGAGGCCAATGGGCCACATGGCGCACCCAAGTCACAATGGCCCTGCACATCCCCCCCCCCCCATATATCCCTATGTAAAGCTTTGATTGCCTATTATGGCCTCATCTTACCCATTCAAACCTAATAAAGAGGTATGAAAGTTGTTTTTCCATACTTCAATCTGTTAGGCATGATTGAAACACTCTATGTAAGCTCCTTATGGAGATATTTATAATTTATAATGCTGGCTAATGAACATCATGTTAATGTGATGCAAAAAAAAGTAATTTATTTAAAATGAATTTTGTCAATTTATCAGACTGTGATCATGTCTGGAGAAAAAAACAACTTATGGAATTAATCCTTAACTGTAATAAAGAAACAGTCATACTTAAAATTCAAGACAGAAATTCTGCCAGAATTTTAATTCACTTTAAACAATCTACATATTGTACAATGTAATACATAACACCTTATACAAGAGGCCCATGGTCCATGACACCTGAGCCCTTTTGCAAGAGAAAAGCAGAAATCAGTTCAGTATTGGAAAGTTTGAGTAATTATACAATTGGTGCCACCCTATGCCCTGTGGGTGATGATTTGAACAAACCTGAAACTACTTCTCCCATCCTACCCCTTGATGTTACGATTTGAATAAATTTGAATGTACACTACCTGAAAAATACTCCTGTATTAATATAACAAATCATGGCTTTGCTGTTCTTGAGAAGAAGGCCTTTAAAGACATTTTCTATATAATTCCATGTAAAAGTCTTATGCCCCATTGTGTCCCCACCCTTCTGCCAGGGGTCATTAGTTGATAAAACTTCAAGCTACATTACCTGAGTATGCTTCTGTATTAATATGACTTGTCATGGCTTTGCTGTTCTGGAGAATAATTTTTCTGGCCCACTCAGACCTGTTTAACTTTTCTAACTGATGTCAGTATTCTAGAAGTTGTCAGTATTTTGAGCAGTTTGTCAGTAAAAATGCAACTCAGCTTATTAGACATTTTTATATGAAGAACCCCTTGTTATACAAATACTAAGCACTAACTACGCAAGTCACCGTATGCTGTCTACTGTTGCTTACATATTTTACATTTGCCGTAATTATATTGTTTTTAGATCATTTTTGATAAAACCACTTCAATCAACAAGCTTCTTTATCAAACTGATTGGCAAATTTCAGGAACGACTCTGATTTTTTCCGTCTTTAGGGAAAATCTGTATATTTTCAACGTGAATCTGTAGAGCACTTTTTTACTCGAAGATTCATGGAAAATACTAAAAAGCTGTACAAGTAAACAACTCTGCCCATTGTTTCTGGAGAAGATTTTTTTAAAGATGCCATCAAATTTGCACTTATTTTTGATTATATCCCCTTAAAATAGGGTGATGCCTTTCATATGAACAAACTTGAATCCCCCACCGAAGAATACTTTGTGGCAAGTTTGGTTGAAATTGACGCAGTGGTTCTTGAGAAGGAGCTGAAAATTTGAAACAACAGTGGCGCTGGAGATGGACAATGGACAAACTTTGATCAGAAAAGCTTACTTGAGCTTAAGAAAGTTCTGTTTTCAGCTTTATTACCAAGATCATTAATGGTATCTTCATCACAGCTTTTTTCATCGCTTGAAGGATGGTATGATTCATCATCATTACCATCATCATACTCGTCTGCTTCATCACTTGAAAGTGGCCCTGTATCATGTCCTATTTAAAATTCTAAAAAAGAAATTATCATTTTAAGACTGTTCATTTTTATGGGGTTAACTTTTAATTTGTAACATCCAAACAACATCATAAATATAGATTACCATTCTCATTGACAACATCATGACTGCTGCTTTCATTTACAAATGATTGGTGTGATTCCTCATCCTGCTCAACTGCAAAAGACTCTGTCAAAACATTCAAATTAGATATTAAATTGGAAAATAACACTTTTCTTAAAAAGTAAGATTCAAATTTATGAATACAATAGGGGTTATCTATTTTTTTCTTTTTGCCTTTACTATGCATGCAAAGAAGAGTCCCATGGGCTACAACATTTCCCATTTAAAAGAAGCTTTTCTTAATGTTTATAAAGAGTTTTTCTCCTTAATTTTCTCCTGCAAAATTGTGAACTCATATTATGACCCTATCCTAACTCTAAAGGGTCTCTGAATCCACTATCCCCCCCCCCCCCCCCCCCCGCTTCCTTCCTCCCTTTGGCCATGATTTGAACAAAAAGGAAGCTACAAGAAGGTTTAAAAATACTTTTTGTGGTCCAGTTGTTCTTAAAAGGATTTGTAAAGATTTTAACCAGTACATAAATGTATGTATATATTTCAAGGTAAATCTTTGATCCCCTATTGTGGCCCCATCTACCTCAAAGGCCATTTTTTGAACAATTTAAAATCTTTATTACATCAGGAAGCTTTCACATAAATTTCAGCTCCTGACCAGTAAAGTGAGAGTATTATGGGCTTTGAGAAGAAAATACACATTATGGTTTAATTTGACCTCCAAATCTTTTTTCTAGTACCATAATAGTGTACGATACATTTATTAACTTGACAACATACCAATCTTCTCCTGGATTTTGTATGCTGGTGAGCACAGACTGGGCTCACAGTTTCCAGCAAAGTTATCAGCTGTAACTCTAAACTCCCACTCTGAGTCCTGAGGAAGATCGGTGACAGTAAAGAGGGGTCAGTGCAGGGGTACTCATTTCTCTGTTCCCTTAAACCTCTCTTCTACAAGGTAGTCTACAAAGATAATCAATATTATTAACTGCTACAGTGTTTATGTGGTTTTGAACAGAGATCAAAATTTCCCTTTTTTTATTCTACTTTTAAATCAGTACCTGTAATTTTACAGCCACCATTATGTTTAGGTGGTTCCCATTTCAGATAAGTTAAAGAATTGTTGACAGCCTCTGGTACACCAGGTGGCAAAACCTTGGCTAAAATAAAAGTTTAAAAATGTGAAAGAAAAAATAATTGAAAATAAAGTACAATATGGTAATTGTTTTTTAAAATGTTATAATTTTTTTCAAATATACTTACTGTATTTGGGCTTGGGAGTTATGGGATCGACCAATCACATCACTAGACTAATTTAAAAACCTTCAAGATTCTTGGCCTGTATGTGGAAGTTGTATTCCTTGTCCTTTTTTAATCCCTTCACTGATGAAAAAACTCTCAAATTCAAGTTTTGTAAACAAAACAAATTTCAAGAATCACTTTTGTAAAAAACATCTTTTCACAGTTTTCAGCCATAATATACTAATTACATGCAACAAAAGGACATGTAAATCCACTTACTAGTTCATAAGAAAGATACATGTGTCAACAAGTAATCAGTTACTCACCCTCATAAACACACTCATCTACTGGGTAGTCATTAGCCTGCCTCCAGTGGTGGGGTCTTCGTATTCTATGACATATCCTATAATCTTCTTAAAACCATCATTTCTTGGTTTGGTCCAAGAGAGAGATTGACAAAATCTTCATCAATGTCGAAAACACTTGGATGTCCAGGAGGATCACAACAAGCTGAGGGAAACATTTAATATTTTCAAAATTTTTCAACCCAGTTCATCATGCAAGCACAAAGACATTCTTTTAATTGTATACACCAATCAATGCTCGAATCTTAACATATCCCTTCATATTGAAACGAAGTCTTAAAGTTTGGAATTCATTTGATATCTAACAATTCATGTTCAACAGAATTATCACTTCACTTCAGCTTAGCTTCAGGGGAGAGATCAAAATTCATACACATCTACAAAAACTAATCAATCACCTGAAAATGAATTTCTTTGGCTACCACTTAAATATTTAGATGACTTGCAAAATAAAGTGGACAGACTGGACAGTATATATAGCTTGAACGAATAGGGATATACTAAAATACTTAACTAAATGTGCATTCTCAACCAAATTTGTGCACAGTGCACTATTTAAAGAATGTCCATACAAAGTAGTCAAAATACCAATCCCAAAGATCTTGAACTTAGCATTTTACAATTTTTTCCTCATAAAAATAGACGAATTCAAAATTTGATGAAAAATATTAATGCTCTCAAACTAGGAATAATTAACATTTTTGGTGGAATGGCTCTGTTCAATGGTACCAGTTATGGAAGAAAAAAAATGCTGCTGTTTGTTCTTTATCACAAAATACATTGTATTTAAAAAAAAATTCCATTTCTTTTTATTTTAAACATTTTTTCCTTTATATTCCCACAAAAAACTTTAATCCACTATTGTTGTGCCACTCTTCGGGTGCCTCTAGGAACCATGATTGGGAAAAAAATTGTACAGCACTTTCTGAGGATAACAGCTAGGACATTAATATCACTAATCAATGTCCTGTTGTGACATACATTCCAATGAAAAACTTCAATCCTTCATTGTAGCCCTATCCTACCCCACTGTAGATGCACTTCATTTAATATTTATTTTTAATTACAAAAAGACAATTGAACAAACTACCATGTTATGACCGCATCTTATTATGACATTTTTTTTATATGTTGATGTAAAAAAAATATTGATTCCATACTGGTTCCACCTACCCCATTAAGTCAGATTTGAACATGCAAACTTGAATCTATACCATGTCAGGACACTTCCACATAAGTTTCAATGGTTTATAAAAAGGAGATTTTTATATGAATCAAATTTTCACTGTTTCATAGCTACTTCTCCTTGAAAAGTTGGTCACCATTCATTTAAACAAATTAAAATTGCTAAGTGGTTCTCCAGAAGAAGTAAAATGCTCCTGAGCTTTTGAGTAGATTTTTGTCTTAACCTATATTTCCACTTTTGCATAATGTTTTAGTTCTTACAATAAATTTGGATTCTACAATACCAATTAAAATATATTCAGTTAAAACTCCATGATTAAATTCCATACCAAAAGCATTAAGTGAGGAACTACTGTATGTGTACTTAAAAAAGCAGGCTTCATATTTTAAGGGGCCCTTGGCGCAGACAACAATGCCCTAATTCATGAATACCACTAAGAAATCATTTATAAATACAATATATGGTACAGACATTTATAGCGCTAATTCATGATGTCGCCAACACCTCAAAACCCAGTAATTTCGCTAAATTTTGAATACACTATTTTATGGACACATACAGTATATTTTGTGGCGGAAGGTTTTTTTTTAGAAGAAAATGATCATTTCTTTCTCTTTCAAAGTATTTAAAGTATGCTAAGTTTGGATTCCTATTTTTCCATGCAGCCTACACACAGAGTTATTCTGAGCCATGAATTGTTTTATGCTGGTCCTAAATTATATATCAAATAAAATATCATGAATTCTATCATTATATTTGATAAGTATAGCAAATATATTGTGAAAATCCAGGAAAAAATAGCCGTAATTTAAATTAAGCTTAAAATTAGCACTATTTTGGTAATATCTAAAAATTAACATCACAGACCCCCACTTTTAATTTTCTTTTCTGAATATATAAAATACTTTTAACCATTCAGTAAAATGTCATTATACTTTCAAGATATGTTATTGCTTGATAAATTTTTTAATGCCAGAAAAATATTTTCTGAGTGCAAAAAGGTCAAATAATTGAACTTGCGAAGTAATTTGAAAATTTTTTGTTGTCACAAATTTTAATACACCTATATATTCAAGGTGAAATAAGACTGTGTTTGTTCCCATGATTTATTTGAAAAAAATATTGGAGGAAAAACTTTAAAAATTGATTTATGTGTAAGACGTATTTACAGTGCAAAAAAGTCAAACTAAATGCTCAATAGCGCCAAGAGAAGCACATTAACCCCTATTTTTTGTTTTGATTTTTAATTAAGCTAGGTGTGTAGATTCTAAAAATATACTTGATAAAAGATTCTCATTACTTTTGAATTTAAAATTTCAAAATTATGCTTTGTAAAGTAGAAATCTGGTGTCTGATTATAATCGATAACATTGAAACACTAGAAGCTGATTCCAAACATTGATCAAAAATGAAAATAAACCAATGCAAGGAAACTCACAACATCTGTGTGATAAATGTATACAGACAGGGAAACTCACTACATGTGGGTAAATAATGCACTCTGGCAAGGAAACTCACTACATGTGTGTTAATAATGTACTCTGGCATGGAAACTCACTACATGTGTGTAAATAATGTACTCTGGCAAGGAAACTAACTACATGTGTGCAAATAATGTACTCTGGCAAGGAAACTCACTACATGTGTATGATAATTTTAAACAGACAAGGAAACTCACTACGTGTGTGTAAATAATATACTCTGGCAAGGAAACTCACTACATATGTGTAAATAATGTACTCTGGCAAGGAAACTCACTACATGAGTGTAAATAATTTACCCTGGCAAGGAAACTCACTACATGTGTGCAAATAATGTACTTTGGCAAGGAAACTCACTACATCTGTGTAAATAATGTACTCTGGCAAGGAAACTCACTACATGTGTGTGATAATTTTAAACAGACAAGGAAACTCACTACATCTGTGTAAATAATATACTCTGGCAAGGAAACTCACTACATGTGTGTGTAAATAATATACTCTGGGAAGGAAAATCACTACGTGTGCAATTATTGTCCTCTGACACGGAAATTCACTACATCTGCGTGATAAATTTTAAAGTTAAAGATAGAAACTCAAAACGTTGACACAAATACTGAGGTATGTGACTAATGCAGAGATTATTAGATACTGTACGTAGCATGAAAAAAATTGCTGGCTTCACATCAATGTTGCTATGGAATGAAGGAAAAAAATATACTACATGTTTTGTCTTTGATTAAAAAAGAAAAAAAAATAAAAAAGATAGAAATAATGTTATATTGTAATATATTTCAATACAAAATTTAATATTGCAATGTATCCAAGGTATTGTAATAGGATTTTTAATTTGCAATACCTAGCACTTAACTATGAACACAATGAGTGATTTGGCAATGTTAAAACAAACTACATTTCCCTTGCAGTAAATTCATCATTAACTTGTTCCTACTATGGATAAATTATATATGGCTCAACTAGTATTATAAACAATGAAAGTATATCCCAGAATAGAAAATAGCAAAATTTATATTTTTTTCCCTAAAAATGTATGTCTGTAACATGAATATATTTCATTCAGAATGAAAGTAATAATAAAGAAATAATCCTTGAAATATTATGTTTTTTACGTTATGTCAAAAATCTTGATGCGAGCCAATTGCAGAGGTCTGAGAGAGGAACGAACAATTACTCTGCATAGGAGATTGGTAAACAGCAACCCCCTCCGCCAAACAAACAAACAAACATCAAACAAAACAAAAAACACGATATAATATCTAATCATAATATTTAATCTCCTGGGGTAGTGAACTCTATAAAACATGTTTAGTAGACTTATCTATAATGCATATCATAGAAGAAATATGGAATCAAAATAATCATCCCAAATTAAACATACATGTATTAACCATTAGAGAGAATCTAGGTATGTCACTCCAGTTTGTTTACTTTGTACCCCATTGGTTTTTCTGAGTTGAAATCATGTTTTTATTTCAAAATGAAATGCCATTTCACATTCTTTTGACATATAATTCAGTCTGTCTTTAATTTGATGAAGCTTTTAAATTGGATTTGCATCTCATAAGAATCCTACAATTTATTCTCAAATACAAATCAATCAGTGTTTTGGAAAATCCTTAAGTAAAAGCAAGAGGCCACTCAATCTCATTCATAACAGTATGTCACTTCTTTTCATATCCATGCTCAATACATTTCACTCTGATTCTTATTCTTCATAATTTCAATACTTTGCCCATGCTTCATTGTGTTAGCAATGTATACCAGTTCTTCTTACTTTTATACTAATTCCAGTTCTTAACTACTGTAACATTATTTTTAAATTTGCAAATTAAATCTCTGTTACAAATATCAATTTAAATATTTTTGTTGTAGACAACCAAGAATTCAAGTAATGTGAGAAAAACAAAATGCCAGTAATATGTCTTCAATTATGTCATAAAAATGACTCTGGCCATCCGAACCGATCAGCATCCAATCTTATAATTATGTGTTGATACTTATAAGTGTTGTCAAATCGGACAATTTTTAGTAACCGGTTACTCACTTACTTTTCCGATCAAGTAAACGGTTACACAGATGGATTTTTTTTTAGACCTTTAAACATCCTTGCTCATGGTATGTATTCAATAATAACTGTAATATATGTAACGTCATTACAATTTCCATGTTTAACATTTACATAATGGCCAATATCAAACGCAAATGCACTGTAGATGCATTTCATTTATTTATTTTTAATTACACAAAGACAAATTAAAGCTTCTAAATGAATTTGTTCTTGAATATCCTGTAATAGTTGGCAATTTTTGCGGATGTCCTAAATATAAACTTACTTTAGTTTCGTTTCTGTGTATGTTAATTTCATTTTACATATTTTACACCTTTCGGATTTAAATTCTTTTAAAACATTTCGGAATCTATGCTTTTGATGGCTGTGGAGGCTTCTTGTTTAAAATTAATCCTGTACTGCGGACTAGCACAGTATAAGTGAGGTAATTATATAATTAACCCAGGTTTTCTACATTGTATACTGCTTGGCAATCAAAGCCATCGATTAGATAAACTGTGAAAACTAAGCGTTATCAAAACAAATCGGTCAAGTTTGTGAAACGCTAGATCAAGTCTAACGTTAAATAACGGTAAATAAAATGGTAGAGGTGTACATTCATTTCTGAACAAAATAACATTTCTTTTCTACTTTTGTCTATATATCCGAGTAACTGAGTAGCAGTTTTACTATCTGATACTCGCATTGTTTGCCAATTAACCGGTTAACCAGGTACTCGTTGACAACACTAGTAGAAATGGTTAAAATGGCATCACACAAAATAAAGATAAATTAATTATTCAAACAACAGGGAGTAATACAGTAAAACATGCTTACAATAGCAAAGAGCCGGGGACCAAAATATTTAATTCTTTATAAACATAAACTTTCCATTTACAACACTTTTAAATCTATGGGGAAGGAAATCACTTCAATGTAAGCATACAAATTCATTTTAAGCATGTTTGCTATAACAATGTTCTGGCTGATTGATTTGAAAATTTTATAAATGGTTCTTCAATGATGTGCACAATTTAGGAGACACTGCAACAAATGGAAGCTAGACCACTGCTCCTTGATGAAAATATATCCTTGTTCGTAACCTTATTATAAATCTAGCTTAATAGTCAGACTGGGTGAAGCCTATCTTTATGAAGTATTGATACTGTTGGTGGCATTACATAAAATCAAAGGCCTGAAGGCCTGAGAGACGCATCGCACTGAAGGTAGAAAACTCAAATTTTTTTACTCAGAAAAATTCGACATACATCTTGAGGGAACGAAAAAAAATCAGGAATAAAAATAAAAATTAAAAATATCATTTCTTTGAGGTTAAAAAAAGATTTTGAGTCGTGGCATTTTTTTAGTCGGTCGGAAGAGGGCAAACAAACATTTTTTTAAAGATAGTCTGATATATCAATTATAATTCATTGATATTTAAATTAATCTATAATTGATTTTAATTATACTTTTATTTTTTTTTATTCTTTCATTATAAACATAGTAGAAAGATGAAATAATGAACGAAAATTTAGAAATGAATGATTATTGAATAATTCTATATAATTTCATATCTGAATTTTTTCCGTTTCTTTCATTATGAGCATTTTTTTTTTAAATATCAATACTTTGTCTTAGACTAGTTTTATCAATCAAAATGACATAATACGTAAACCATAGTGGAATACATGAAATGTTCATATAATTCGGACTGAAAAAAAAAACAATTGGGAGTGGTATACGGTATACTATGAAACACGTTTCCTCCGATATTTTCGATAAAATAAACTCAAAAAGCCTATGTTTATACGGTATTAGTAAACCTATAAATTGAAATCCACTGTCATTGCAATTTTTTATCAGATATTTTATCATACTCAACTGACATTTTACCAAAAACCGATCATTTCACCGTTTCGTGTCACCCTTCCTCGTGGAATTTTTTTCCCAAAACAGTCTAGACGAACTCCAAAAACAGCTTTGCTTTTCCGGAAGTAAGAAATTGAGACTGAAAAAGACTCCGAAAATAGAGTCCGCGCATGCGCACATGCACAAAAAATAGCGAAATTTCGGCAAAAATGATGGGTCTACAAAAACTGTCTGTGCAAAGTTTTGGAAAGTATGGCAATTATGCCAGTACTCAGAAATGCTAAACAAAAGACCTCGGAAGAGATCGTATTTGTCAGATTTTTTATTTTATTTGCAAAAAAGGAGATATTTACTTTCAAAGTTGACGTTTGAAGTCAGGTCAATTACAGAGAAAATGATACGTTTGAGAAGTAAATATGCATAATAAAAGGGATATATATGCAAAATGGGACAATACATATTGTAACTGTTAAAAACTTGACTGACTTTTACACATATATTAGCATTCCGGTATTTTTATTTGTGTACGACATCTGAATTGAACGCGTAAGTTCTTGCCATGGTTATGTACCGATTTTTTTTTATCACATACGAACAGATATTATTATGAAAACATTTTTAAAACTATTAGCTATCAAAATGAAATCTTTAAAAACCACTCTTCTAGAAATTAAGGTCACAACATGTCTTCTAAATATAAACCTGTGAATATCTCTGCTCCGTAGTGAAAAATGTGCATTTTCTAATTAAAATACATACAAGCTGGGTGTCTTCAAAAACAAGTAAAAGCACCTAGATATTGTAGGAACAACATAAAATTTAAATCAAGGAGACAATAAATCAAATAAGAAAATAATTCTTACCGGCAGTATTGAATTCGATGTCGTATAATCCAATTTACTACTATGCAAGAGTTTGAAGCAATAAATAAGTCAATATCCACAAAATAATTTCATAAATATAATTATCCATTCAACAAAAATTAAAGTAAAGTCACAATGCACTAAATACAGCCATTATGCAGCCGTATATTTGAAGAAAGCGAACGACAATCCATCGTTTGTTTACATCGGACGCCAATTTGCCGGAATGCATGATGGAGCCAAAGACTTCGTTTTCGGAGTTCACGCCGTTTTAGAGTTCGTCTTGACTGCGAAAGGTGGCCCTTGTTGCAAAAATTTATTCAGTTGAACATCTTACTATTCCTTTCATCAAGTGAAAAAATAATGATATCCCTTCTATTTCTATAAAAACAACCATCTTGTTCCTACTGTTAGTGATGTTTTATAAAATAAAATTATTGTATATTTTTTCTCAGATATTCGTACAAGCAATGTCGTATTACAAGGCCTAATAATTTATGGCAAGAGCTGTTGCGATGTAAATAGATCTTACTCCGCGTAGCACATGTTTGTTTGTTGTTGTTTTCTCTCTTTCTCTATTTTTGTTTTGTTTTGTAATTGTTTCTTTTTTGTTATCTTTGTTGCTTTCAAAGTATAAACAACATATATATGTGAGATTTTATGTTATTTGGTATTTAAAATAGACAATGAATATCACCAACTTGTCAATATACATTTGCTCTATTTTCAATGGCGTATTTAGAATCAATTTTGTGGAGTCCTTTGTCGCCGCAGTAATTGAAAAAAAGAAATGGGGGTCGACTGCAATGAGGCCACATCGCTGTTAGGTATCCTCAAAAAATAGTTAGTGTCCAAAAATATGTGAATAAACATGATAAATATTAAATCACTCTTTATGACATTATGATATCATGAAATTAGCTTAACAGCAGACTGGGTAGTGCAACTTGTATAATTATATTTATATATATTACCTGAATTAATCTCATCATCATCATCACTGTCAAATGAATTTCCATTGAATTCCCAACTAAAAGGGTCCGATTCCACTTCCACATCTGAGCTAGCCATTTGGATGTCTAAAACATCAAAGCATTTAGACTCAACATCACCTTTTAAAAATTAAAACTGTCTTCAAACAAGAGGCCCATGGGCCACGATGCTCACTTTGGTCAAATAGGTTCAATAAAAGACTTACTTATAGACACAAAATATTACAAAAAAATTTATCAATTCAGATTCTGAGATCTTATTTTCCAGGTATAAGTCTTCTGCTAAATGTGTCTTTGTGTGACATCATATTGTAACTAGGGGATTGCTCTAAAATCAGCCCCAGTATTTCCAATTTGTTTAAACATCATTTATGTTAAAAATTATACAAAAAATATTTTTTTGTAAAAAATATACAAACTTAAATTTAAATACAGATCAATCTGGATTTTAACTTTTTTGCACAAAACTATAAATTAAGAGCATATAAAATTATAATCATGTAATGAAAAAATATGAAATTCAAGCAATATTATCATTCTTTCTACATCCATCCACTTTACAAAACAAAACCACAGATGTTGAGAGTAAATTAATAATACAAGAGGCCCATGGGCCACAGCGCTCACCTGAGTAACTTTGGCCTTGCTGTTTTTCACCTGATTTCTCCTCCCCCCTGTAGTACTTATTGTGGCCCCGCCCTATCCCCAGGGGTCATGATTTGAACAATTGGAATCTACACTACCCCAGGATGCTTCCAAGTAAGTTTCAGCTTTTCTGGCCCAGTGGTTCTTGAGAAGATTTTTAAAGATTTTTCCTATATATTTCAATGTAAAAATTGGATTCCCTATTGTTGGCCCGCCCTACCCCTGGGGGTCATGATTTGAACAATTTAGAATCTACACTTCCCCAGCATGCTTCCACATAAGTTTCAGCTTTTCTGGCCCAGTGGTTCTTGAGGAAAAGATTTTTAAAGATTTTTCCTATAATATTTCAATGTAAAACTTGGATTCCCTCTTGTGGCCCCGCCCTACTCCCGGGGGTCATGATTTGAACAATTTAAAATCTACACTACCCCAGCATGCTTCCACATAAGTTTCAGCTTTTCTGGCCCAGTGGTTCTTGAGAAGAAGATTTTTAAAGATTTTTCCTATATATTTCAATGTAAAACTTGGATTCCCTATTGTGGCCCCGCCCTACCCCCGGGGGTCATGATTTGAACAATTTAGAATCTACACTTCCCCAGCATGCTTCCAAGTAAGTTTCAGCTTTTCTGGCCCAGTGGTTCTTATGAAGAAGATTTTTAAAGATTTTTACTACATATTTCAATGTAAAACTTGGATTCCCCATTGTGGCCCTGCCCTACCCCCGGGGGTCATGATTTGAACAATTTAGAATCTACACTACCTTAGGATGCTTCCAGATAAGTTTCAGCTTTTCTGTCCCAGTGGTTCTTGAGAAGAAGATTTTTTAATGACCCCACCCAATTTTTGTTTTTTCTTGATTATCTCCCCTTTGAAGGGGACTTGGCCCTTCATTTTTACAATTTAAACTCCCCTTTACATAAGGTTGCTTTGTACCAAGTTTGGTTAAAATTGGCCCAGTGGTTCTTGAGAAGAAGTCGAAAATGTGAAAAGTTTACAGACGGATGGACAGACGGACAGACGGACGGACAGACGGACGGACAACGGACAACGGGTGATCAGAAAAGCTCACTTGAGCTTTCAGCTCAGGTGAGCTAATAAACTTACTTTTATAGTCTGATATAAATTTGATCTCAAAACTTTTTTGGTCAAAGCCAGCCTGGCAGTAAAAATCTGCTTCTGACGAAGGTGACATTCGTCTTCTCTGAAAATAGATGTGATCAAGGAATACATAAGCTTTAATTCATAACATACTATATAAATGGTGCCTGTTTTGGAGGGTAACAAATGAAATTGACACCCTTTTGAAAACCATTGTTAACCTTTTGTTTTGTCATTGAAATGATCACTCCTGAAATATTTTATCGACCAAATATGAGAAGATTTTTTAAAAATTTTAATCAATTCTTTGCCTGTAATCAAATGACCACCAAAACTTGTGTTGGATCTAAGGGAAAACAAGTTTCTTGGTTGACTAGTGATACTTTTTACAAAAAAGTTAAGTGTTTATTGAGTTTTTTTTAAAACATATAAACATAGGTAATCAAAGATTACAAAGCTCAATGAATGGTACATGTGTATCTATAAGTAAGGTAAATCTTGTACCAATTTTGTGCGAGATCAATTAATGCAAGTTTGGTTAAAGTAGGACTTATAGTTGCATGGGAATAGACCTGCTCCAAAAACTTTAAACTTAAACTGTTTACTCATAAAGAAAATGTAGGTCAGTTCCAGCATCCATAGCATGTCTGGTAGTGTCCATCCCTAGTTTCGTCATCCATGCAAGTTTAGTCATAACATGTCATATAGTGATAGAGCTACTCCAAAGACATTACTCTGGTCACATATCTGAAAAATGTAGGTCAGATTCAGCATCAAAAGCAAGTCTTCTTGTGTCCATCTTTAGATACATCATTCCATGCTAGTTTGGTTCTGGTAAGGCTAATAATTACTCATCTGGAAAATAAAGGTTAGATCCAGCATCCAAAGCAAGTCTGGTAGTGTCCATCCCTAGGTGCATCCTCCATGCAACTTTGGTTCAGGTAGGGCTTAGTTACTTGGAAATGCATGGACTTGCTCCAAAAACTTTAACCTGGTCACTCATCTAGAAAAATTTAGGTCAGATCCAGTATCTGAAGCAAGTCTAGTATTGTCCATCCCTAGATGCATCATCCATGTAAGTTGGGTCCAGGTACGGCTTATAGTTACTTGGGAATGGACTTGCTCCTAAAACTTTAACCGGGATGCCGACACAAACGAAAATCAATAATTATGATTTGCCATCTAAATCACATGAATGTTCAATTTCAAGTGTGATTTACAACATTTTCATAATTTTATTCAGTAAACAAATAAAAAAAATTATAAATTCATTTTTAATGGACCCAAATTATAGCTTGTATAGCCACTGTATTAGTGTAAAATGTGCACTGTGCCATTTGGCTGACTCCACAAAATGCAAGAAAGCCTGATTTTCTAGTTTGTAAGTTCATTGCAGTCTGCACTCTTGGTATTCGTCATCGAAATTAAATGATATCCATGATGTATCATATAACAAGAGGCCCAAGGGCCTTAACGGTCACGTGAGTATAAAACAATAATCCATAGAGGATCCATAGAGTATAAAATAAACTGATAGAACCTTAATTTGTTGCCCAAAAGCAAGAAAAATAGGATGATCATGATCTTCGAAATAATTAGTCTAATATTCAGTAACAACTCATAAATTAAGTTCTAATCTGTCCCCAATTTAGATTTTTTTCCTATAAGTTTTATTTTCTAATATGCCCCCACCCTACCCCCTAGGGTCATAATTTGAATAATCTTGAATCTACACTACTGTAAAACACTTTTTATTCACAAGAACTTTATTTTTGCGTAATTACGTGAGACAGTGTGCTTGTGAAAATTTCATTCTCACTTATCTTAGTATTCCTAAAGATTATATACAGCAAACACATTTCGTGAATATTCTGTCTCGCTAATAAGGAGTCAGTGACTATCTCGCGAAAATGAAGTGTCCCGAAAATTTAGTGATCTACAGCACCTGAAGATGTTTCTGTATTAAAATGACTAATCATGGCTTTGTTGTTCTTGAGAAGAAAATTTTTAAATGATCTTTCATATATATTCCTAACTAAAATTTGATCACCTGTTGTGTCCCCTCCCTACCCCAGGGGGTCATGATTTGAACAAATTTGAATTTACATTACCCAAGGATGCTTCCATATAAATAAGACAAATCATGGCTTTGCTATTCTTGAGAAGAAGATTGTTAAAGATTTTTCCTATGTATTCGTAAATCTTTGATCATAAATTGTGGCCCCACTCTATATTACCTGAGGATGCTTCCATGTAAATATAACCAATCATGGCTTTGCTGTTCTTGAGAAAATAATTTTTTCAAGATTTTTCCTACGTATTCCAATGTAAAAATTTCATTGTTCATTATGGCCCCACCCTCCCCGGGGATCATCATTTTAAGAAATTTGAATCTACACTACCTGAAGATGTTTCTACATCAGTTTCATCTTTCTTGGCCCAGTGGTTCTGGAGAAGATTTTTCCAATGTATTCCCATGTAAAACTTTGATCTCCCATTGTGACCCGCCCTGCCCCCGGCAGGGGTGTGCAATTACCATTGCCCAACGCTCAGGGCTACCAATTTTAGAGGTTGGGCTATCATAAATCTATACTGCATTAGCCTGTCGGGCTAGTAAATCTGAAACGAAAGTATATGTATATTTACATCGACTGAATTGATGTACAAATTAACTTTGTTGTAAAATCATAATCTTTAATTCTTTTCAACATATATGTATTGTGTGTTGCTATCGCCAGTCGTTTCAGTGACTGTCACAATTATATTCAATAAAAATAGGGAGAAGTACCTGACAATAACATAGTGGAAACCATTATTTGTTTTATTTATTTCAACTTAAATTTTTTTTTTTTTTACCTTTTTGTTATACTTATACATGTATTGTTTTCAGTAGTTAATGGGCTAGTGATGATTGTCAACCTCGAGCTAGTAACTTTGTTACTTCCACTAGTCCAGGCTAGTAACTAATTTTTGTAATTGCACACCCCTGCCCAGGGGTCATGATTTGAACAAACTTGAATCTACACTACCTGGGGATGTTTCCACGTAAGTTTTATCTTTCTTGGCCCAGTGGTTCTGGAGAAGAAGATTTTTAAAGATTTTTCCTATGTATTCCTATAATGTAAAACTTTGATCGTCCATTGTGGCCCCACCCTACCCCTGGGAGTTATGATTTTAACAAACTTGAGTCTACACTACCTGAGGATGTTTCCACATAAGTTTCATCTTACCTGGTCTAGTGGTTCTTGAGAAGAAGATTTTTAAAAGATGCCATTAATTTTTCACTAATTCTTAGTTATCTCCCCTTGGAAGACGGTGTGGCGCTTCATTTGAACAAACTTGAATTACCTTTACCAAAGGATACTTTGTTGCAAGTTTGGTTGAAATTGGCCCGGTGGTTCTTGAGAAGAAGTTGAAAATGTAAAAAATTTAAGCAAGATGCACACCCACACGACGACGGATGAAAACAGATACATGTAGCAATAGGTCACCTGAGTGACTCAGGTGACCTAATAAAATCAGAGCCACCAATCAACATATTGACATCCACTGGCTAAGCAACAAACTTTTCCTCTGATGTGGTTCCTAACTCCAAAATATCAAGTCATTTTGCATGGCTGCACCACAGATTTATGAAATTGATGCATATGGAAAATATTACCTTAGGCCATTCCAAGTTTTTTCTATGTTTAGCATCCACCCATCTTTCAAATACTTCACTACCTATTCGCAAAAAACACACAAACCAAAAAGTAAAACACAAGTCATTATAGCCATAAAAATGATGTCATTCAAAGAATATGATTCCATTAATCTATTTTTCTTGTAGAAATATTTATTTTTCAGCAAAATCAAGGTATTAAATGCTTAAAATATTCCAAATATGGCATAGTGTAGACAAATACTTAGAGAAATTGACAGAATTCAGTGAATCGACCAGAATAAACAATTTCAGGACTCCTGATTTTGTTTGTTTGGTTTTTTTGTTTTTTTTTTGTTAAGGGATGTCAAAAAATCCAAGGCACACGCGGACGCTAAACATTGAAAAAACTTGGAATGGCCTTAAATGTACAATGAAATACCATACTAACAAATTCTAATTAATTATCTAGGCTCGCTCTTTGATCTCTAAAAGTTGGCATTAAAAAATGATTTTGGTTTAAATATATTTTATTCTAAATACTTGCATTAATAGATGACAAATCTCCATGAAGTTCTAAAAACAGAAAATTTATTTCCACATATCTGTTATCAAGGTGGCAGGGGATAATTTTTCTTTTCAATGCCAAACATGTGCCGAGGGGGTAGGCATATGCATGAGGTCAATAAAAACAGATCATAGTTTGGGGCAGTTTCTTGGGTGCTAATTAATTGCACTTCATATATCTATAGCTCAAAAAATGTGTCAACGTATAACATGTAACCTACATATTAAAGTGCACATGTACCGAAAATGCACTTGGAGGTCTCCAAAGATTTTGGCTTGTTTTTCCAAGATTTGGGCTGCTGTCGCACCTATACAGCCCATCCCATTCCCGAGCAAGCAGGATAAAACACCCAGTATTCTGTAGAACAATGCATGCCCTAATGAAAATTCACCAATTGATATGGGGCCATTCACCTTCCCTCTGAGATGCACACCACTGCTTTTCAGCTGAATTTCCTCTGCGACTGACCAAATGTCTTAGTTTCGCATTTACAACTCTATATATGCTAAGCATCAGAGTGACACCTACATGATGCACATCATTTTTCTCAGCAAGCTCTGCTACACTGCACATGTACATGTATCCCATAATTATTCTATTCATTTTTCTACATAAAATATCACATCAATCAGGGGATATCTCAGTTTTTAAAGAAATTTGACAGCGTGTACTAATCTATAGTATGAAACTATCCCCTGCCACCCAATGTCATATGGCCATAGTCATGTCGTACCCAAGGCAATTCAAATCTTAACATGTTAACATACAAACATATATGGTTTTGAGTTGACACAGATAAATGCTGTTTTTATTCTCACGGATCAAAAAGTTCCTTGATAAAATGATTTGCTTAATGGATAAAAGTTATGTAATTGATCCTAAAAGTTTCCTTTTATTATATTTTGCTAGTTGTAAAGGGGTATATAATAAATTTATCATTATAACAGTAACTTGATCCTGAGACCCGTATTACGTCTCGTTGACAGGCGCGGATCATCAGATCAAGCTAATTTGATCTGATGATCCGTGCATGTCAACTTGACATGATACGGCTCTTCGGATCAAGTTACTATTATAATTATATATATATACTGGCCTCTGTAAGCGAGTAAACATGGTACTGAAGGAGATGCCTATCCCGTTAGTATATAGATCCCTGACTTAATGCATAGAATAATGATTATACGTTAAAAAAGTGTGTTATAAAATTTGCATTGTCTGTTTATGATACAGAATACAACAGATCTAGGGCCTATAAGTCAAAAAATTTATTTGTTTATTCATTTGAAAATTTTGTTACAATTCCAGGAAATGCAGACATGGCTCTTCTTTATAGTAAAATTCTGCGCCAGATTTTCATTTTGCTCAGTAAAAGTTCACTTCAATTATAATGCCCTGTTCACACGGAGAGTTTAATTCGAATTAAACATAAGTTACTGCGAATTAAATTTGAATCGCATTCGCACAGGGAATTTAATGCGAATTAGTTTAATTCAAATTAATTAACTGCACATTAAATTACTTCGCATTAGCTCCGTGTGAACGCTAAGCGAAGCTAATTCGAATTAAATTTTGACGCATGCGTAATGGCACAATTAAGTCACATGCCACATGTCTGTGGACAGATATGGATACTTATGCTATTTTTTAGTGGAAAACAAAGAAAAATTATGTTAATCACTGAAATGTGCATAGAGACTATGACAGAATGTAATATGGGTTTGCTGCGCATAAGGCGACGTGATTTGAAAATGACATCATAATAGCCTTACTGAATAGCCTTACTGTAGAAATAAAATTTTAATTCCCATTAGTTTACTTCGCATTAGCTGTAGTGTGAACACAATTTAATTTGCATTATTTTAATTCACATTATTTACTTCGCATTAATTTACTGCGAATTAAACTCTCCGTGTGAACAGGGCATAACAATTTAATGCATGTTACTGTCAATCAAAAATTGTTTTAATCAGTAAATCATGATGCAAAAACTAACATAACTTGCAGAAGTCAGCATAAACAACTTCACTAGCGAATCAAGATCCCATTCAAAAAACATTGGTAATGTAATGCAATATCATGCACTCAAGTGTATAATATATAATTTTCTTATCGGTATTGTAAAACAATTGATACCCCATATGAGTTCCACATGGTGAAAAGAAGGACCCTTGACATGACCGACTTGCTAACCAGACATGACCTCGGCAACTACGTGGCCTTGGTCAGGTTAATTAAAATAATCTAACTGTGTCTTGGGACAGGCCCTCACTACAGTTAGAATCCCTCCCATATACCAATAATATAGCAGAAAATTGCAGAATCGCTCCGAAATGATTTTGGAGAAAATTAATGAAGTTGCATTGAAAATAACAGTCAAATTAATCATAAAAAACCTTTTGAGACTGTAAATACCTTTCATCTAAAAATTTAATCCATATAATGGAAGAATTCAACACTTTTTCACCAACATTTTTTACTCGTTTCAAATTTACACAAGATGTTGACATTCAGAACTCTCGGGATATTTCAAAGTAAATGCACAAAGTTAGAGTTATCTCCCGTATTTTCTTTGCTACATGGACAATACACGGAATGCATTCTATCGTTAAACAGGGTCCGTAGGACATTTATCATTTTAATGATAGAACATTCTATCTATGGTCAGGTCAGTTCACCTCGTAGACCAAGTCTTGGGTCCGTATTTCACCATGTTGACCTCAGAAGAGGTAATAAATTGTTAATAATGTTAAGTTATGAGTTGTCATCAATTTATATAGGGGAGTCAGCTTGTAACAATTCTCCTGGTTACGAGTTGAATTTTATGAGTTGACCTATTGGGTTTGATCTGATCTACATAACATGCTAGAGGTTCACGGCGATATACTTTTGACTTGGCGCTCCGAGGTATATAAGGAGCGTAGGGACGTTTAACCGAGGCTCTTACTTGTAGGAGGAGATCTGACCTAGATACGATCATACGAGGCTGGTTCCGAGTTGACCAAAAACCCTTAAACAGACACTGTAACTTTTCTGTGTTTCCCAATCCCAAACAAGGATAGACTGTAATGCAGGCCCAACTGTGTTCATTGTACGTGTATAAAAAATAATAAAACGGGCACTATAAAGATTATCGTTCCGAAAAATTGACACATACAACTGACCCAGTTCGAATTTTCTCAACCAAGTGACAACTTTCCAAAGTTCACAGTACATACGATGAACTTCAAGCATCTTCTAAATTTCCATCTTCAAAAGTAACAAGAGAAGATTTTTATACTTTAAAGCTTACAAATACTTACAAAACTGTCTTTCATACGCAATGCAGTCTCAGTGATCAGTTCATGTTCATGTTGTAGGGTGTTACCTTCGCTTAACTGGTTCTTGTGAACTTCCGGTAACCAGCACATTTCTGAAAAGTGAAAATCTTGTAATATGCAGGCAATATTTATGACTTTTAGAGTGGGACAGTTGCAAAGTATGATGGCAAAGGTACTTATTTTGGCCATTTTAGGGTGGGACAAGTCATTTTAACAACAAAAGACCCTACATACATAATCTATATAACTCAGTAACTGTAGGGCAGTGGCGGATCCAGAAGGGTGTCTAAAGATTAAGGGCCTGGGACACAAATTATAAATGCAATATTTAGCAACAACAAAATAAAAATTTCTTAATCTTTATACGAATAATTTTGGTTATAACAGGGGAGTCCCCCCCCCCCCCCCGAACCCCCTCCTAATAAAGGTCCCTGATTTTATTATGAATTGAGAAAAGACTCATGAATACATGTAGTTATTCAAATCCATGAAATAAACCCTCAAATCACAGGTTCCTCCTAGTTTTCGGACAATTTAAACCTGGCCTTCCGTGCAAAACTGTCAAATTAATCAATATAATCAAATTATCAGGAAATTAATTAATCAATTTACATTTAGAAAGTATGCTACATTTAAGATTTAGACAGTATGTTAGAAGCATATAATATACTTTTAGTCAAGAGTGTACGGGGATTTACCCTGGATTGTATTCCATACACCTTGAGGTTGAATCAAGGGTGTAGGGGATTTACTCTGTGTTGTATTCCATACATGTGTGCAGAAGGCCCCAGTGCTTTTTAACTATGCCTTGTGACATCACAATATTTTACCTTCAGCTCAAGCTGTACATAGTACATGTATACTAAATTACACCAGCTGGCTTGCTATACAAACAAATCTTGTATTACAAGTTAGCTTGCTGCTTCAGCCTCTGAGGATGTATAGAATACAATTTACCAGAGGAAAATCTCTTTACATCCTTGATTGAATTGCAGTGGATATATCCCTGCTAGAATTACAAGAAAAACAATCCAATGCATGTCATATTTCCTTAGAAATAAAAAATGTCATGGTCAAGTAAGATTTTATACAACTTTCAAACATTTTCAGGTTGCATGATATCCAAAATCATGCACGTTTAAAATTCCCAAAATTATTTCATTTAGAAAAGGAAATCACCAAATATTTTGCAACTGAATGGAGTCTATACCCTTCAAGTAGTAGCCATCTATATCACAGCCTCAACATGGCTGATGAAGGAGAAATTTAAAGGTCATATTATATTGTATATATGTACAGGGGTATTTATGAACTTTAATTTACATTGTACTTTGATTTAATTTTCATACAAAATGAGGACGGGAAATATATTCTTTCACTGCAGTGGAAGGTATGAGACCAATTTATTTAAGACTTTATAAATCTATGTTTATGCACTGGTCCCACTCTGGTGAATAATATTGCCTAGTCTCTTATTCATGGACTATAAATTTGTGGAAACTTGAATGTAATTGATATTGCAATTCAAATTATCCTTGTAATTAAGAATACGAAGCCAAATATACTTATTAAGCGGATGTTGCATTATTTTGTATGCTTTCTGTGGTTCATGACATTATGCTGAAAATTCTTTCCAAAAAATATTTACTTGTACATACGTATGTTTATCTAGAGTGTTCCAAGAAAAAACATGTGTTGCCTGCTATATAGGCTCATAAAAGTTGCAAATAAATCTAAGGATGGTCAGGTATTTGCTGTACAGTGCATAAAAAAATCCACAAATAGGAAGGCTCTGATAGAAATTGACAATATAATAGAAAATGTTGAATATGATTTCCCTATCCTCAAAACTAAACAAAATAATATTACAATTAAATCAGAAATAATTATAATTTAATGCATGTTTCCAACAATCCTCTGAAAGTCTGACTATCCCTATGATATTGACTTTACTACACTTGAATTTAACATTCAGCTGATTTTCAAAGGAAATACTTAGTATTCAAGATATCTTTATCTAAATTCACACAATGATATATTGTGAGAACTATTCAAATGTGTCCATTTTTTTTTACCTTGACTTAGCTTTTTCATTTTGCATTTTGTTCAGTTTTAAAGGAACTTTTTTTTTATCCAAATACACATACAGTGTACTATCACATGTTGGTAAGAAGTATTCAAATGTGTCCTGAATTTTTTATTGTGACCCCTATGATATTGACCCAACTATTTCAATCTGCATTTAGCTCAATTTCAAAGAAATTATTCAAGATATTTTTATCTATACACATATCTGAGATAAACTATGTCAATTTTTTTTTATCTTGATCTTCCCTTTGACCTTGACCTCGCTATTCCTTATTTTGCATGTAGCTTAGTCTTAAAAAAATCTTTTAATTTATTTTTATCTATGCACTTGCACTGACACATATTGGTGATAACATTTCAACTGTGTCCAAATTATGACCTGTTCCTTTTGTTAATCATTAATCTGACTATTTATTTTAGTTACAGCTCTTTTTTTTTAAAGAAAGTATTCATAATATTTCTATCAAACGTACAATAACACAAAATTGGTGAGAGTTATTCAACTGTGTCATAATACTCCAAACCTTTATAAAGTTTCCTTTGACCTTGACCTCATCATTCCTCCTTTACTCTGATTTTGAACCATAGAAGCCTGATGCTTTTTTCCTTGTTTCATCAAAACTTATCCTGGGTAAGGCATTCATGTCCTGTTATAGATTTTAATTTCTTTTAATGAAGGTTGTTATCTAGAACACTGATATCTCAAATACAGGGATACATGTATGTCGAAGTGAGTTGGCACTCCCTAAAATCTTTTTTTCAGCATTCTTCATGTTTTTAACCCTTGTCATTTCCAATCTTTCTGCGAAAATTTCAAATTGTTATTAAAAAAAATGAATTGCAATGTTTATGCCTTTATAAAAAAAATTTAAACAAAATAAAAACAAAATTTTACCTATCAACCCTATTTTTTATTAGCAAGTAATGGTACATGTATACAACTTTGTTTTTTTCCTTAGGCCGTGATGTCTTATAGATTTCATTCCAGTTAATAAATCTTGTTGATCGATTGATTGTTTGTTGTTTAATGTCCCTCTCGAGAATTTTTCATTCATATAGAGATGCTACCACTTGCTGGTGTAGGGCTACAAATGTTGACCTATACTCGGCACTCAGGGCCAGTGAGGGATATTTTTCAAGCCAGCACTTACTGTGACAAGGGACCTTGGTTTATACAGTCTCATCCAAAGGACCGGTCTCCACGACTCGCAGTGGGATTCGAACCTGCGACGTAAGGATCAACTCCTTACTCCGCGACTCTAGAGCAGACACCCTAACCACTGCGTCATGCAGGCGACAAGAAATCTTATTAAAAAGTCTAATAAACTGTAGCTCTGTACATTGTATTTACCCTAAAATGTGCGAATTCAATGCATCACCAAACTCGATAAATCATGATATCTGTATAACAACATATTGCTGTTTCCTAATTAATGAGAATTAGTTTGTGTATATATATAGTGCAAACATATAGTGCATATGCATATATGCATAGTGTATATGCATATAAACATATCAAGTTTTCAAGCAATAGTTACTTAAGTTGAACTTCAGTATCCATGACACTGATATATTGAATATCATGGATATGTTGAAAGGGATTTTGAAGTCCCAAACCCTTATTCTTTGGGTATTTTGCCCTGGATATCTTGAATCCTTAGATATCAAGGTTTGACTGTATTTAAAATTTTTGGAGTTTCATTGTTATTCTGCTAACCCAGTTAAGCAGGTATTACTATTTCAATCTATACTATATGTCTTGTTAATTCCTAACCCATACTAATTATCAGACTAGTAATCAATGACTTCCCTAAGTAAGTTGTGACTTATTGACCACTTTCGGGTACATTAAAAGTGGCAGATTCAGGACCCCCCTCCCCCCCCCCCCCACTCCAAGATATTTTTTTTAAATTGTCATTTTTACAACATATTGCATAAATGAGATTGTCTCTTTGCTATATCCAAACACATTGTTCTGTATTGTATTATATGTATTAAAAAACCCAAACATTCACTTATTGTAGTACTCTTAGATAGATTAAAGGCCGACTGAGTCATAGTTTTTAATATTATACTTTCATGTAAATTAGTTGAATCTGATTCATCAAGAAACATTTGTTAAAAACACTATTACCCGCTGAATAATGAAGCCACACCCTCCAGGATAGCAACAGTCGACATTGCTTGACTACAGGTGATATTCCAAAAAAATATTGACTCTGCAGAATTTATGCGCGCAAGGTTCACTGTAATGTGATTGTTTGTTTGTTTGTATGTTGTTTAATGTCCCTCTCGAGAATTTTTCACTCATATGGAGATGCCACCACTTGCCGGTGGAGAGCTGCAAATTTTGTCCTATACTCTGCACTTACGGCCATTGAGCAGTGAGGGATCTTTTTTGTGCCAGCACCTACTGCAACACGGGACCTCGATTTATACAGTCTCATCCAAAGGACCAGTCTCCACGTCCCACAGTGGGATTCAAATCCGCGACGTAAGGATCAACTCCTTACTTCGCGAATCTAGAGCAGGCGCTCTAACCACTGCGCCACGCGGGCGACTCACTGTACTGTGTATTTGTATAAAACATTCAGTATGATATGAAAAATACTTCATGTAGTTGCAATTGAGGGTAACATTGAAAATTTTCACCCCAAGAAAACCATTGTCAACCTCGGCTGTGCATCGGTTGACAATGGTTTTCTAAGGCTGAAAATTTTCAATGTTGCCATGGTTACACTCAACTACATGCAGTATTTATATAATACAATCTCAAACTTTATATTACTGAGAAAGAACTTCAAGATATCCAAGGATTCAGGATATCGAGCCTCGGTTGACAATGGTTTTCTTGGGGTGAAAATTTTCAATGTTACACTCAACTTTATGCAGTATTTATTATATTATGCTGAATGTTTTTGCGAATACGTATAAAAGTGAACCTTGCATACATAAATTCTGCGCAGTCACTATTTTTGGAATATCACCCGTCATGAAGCATTGTTGACTGTTGCTATGCCGGAGGGCATGACTTCATCATTCGGTGGGTAATAGTGTTTTTTAACAAATGTTTCTTGGCAAATCAGATTCAACTATATAGCAGCAGAAATAATCTGAAAACTGAAAGCCAACCAAAATGTTAGTCTAAAAATGTTGATTTATTTTGCTCCCATCCTTTTGCATAAAGAAAGCTTGAAAATTCTTTCCATTTAACTCACATTTATCTTTTTTAATTACTAATAGTATGCGCAGTGGTTATAGCATTTGCTCTGGAGTCGCAGCTTACATTGCGGATTCGAATCTCATTGCAGGACATGGGGACAGGTCCTTTGGATGACAGTATATACCGAGCTTCTGTTTCATAGTATGCGCTGGCATGAAAAAGATCCATAATTGCTTATGGGTGCACAGGTCTAAATTTTTGGCCCTCCACCGGCAAGTGGTGGCATCTCAGTATGAGAGAAAAATTTTCAAAGGGATGGTAACAAGCAAACAATTATTTTAATTACTTGTTCTTTAATATTAAGCAAATATGAAAGAATTTCATTTTTTCTCTTGAATGTTTTGCAATTGTATCAGAGCTTGAATACTGTTTGTTATCTCCATATATTTCGTCAAACTCTTTCTTTCAAATAAACTTAACTTTCGGGAAGTTCTGGTAAAGTCAAATTACTGGTATATAAAATGTGAGATTATATGATGAAATAATTTCATTAAAGATGATGAAATAATCTCATTAGATAAGGCAACATTATTTAAAATGAATTGTTTAAAACAGATAAAAAAACACTAAAAAAAAACCCCAAACAAACAGATAAAAGAACACTAAAACAAATTCACTTGTTTTAAGTAAAATATTTACATATGTTTATTTACTAAACATTTTTTTAAGAAAAGGTAAGTCCACTTTTATCATTCTTGATCAGGAAATTCGGATTATCCCTCATTCTACTTTTACAACCAGTAACTCACAATGACTTTTTTCAATACCCTAAAGACACAAAAGACAAACTTAGGGCCTATAATTTATTAATTTATCTGTTTGCAATCGCATTGCCTTTGACAAACTACTTTAAAATATTGGAGTTTCGAGGAAATTCAGTCAATATTAATAAATGTTATGTAACATATAAAACTGATTTTAAAGTTTAAAATAATAATTACATTAAACACGGTACGTTATTTTAAAGTTAATTATTCAATTAATAGAGAAAATATCCTTAGAAGAAGTGCAACTTTATTCACATCCTTAACTGAATGTCATTTCTAACAAAATAATCTGTTAAAATCATGTTATAATTTTTTTATCAGTACTCTGGTCTTTAAGCGACTAAATAATAATAAAACATATCAAAAACAGTTAATTCGGATTTTGTACTATGTAAAAATTGTCAAAATATGTTGTTAATAACTTACTTTTACTGTTGATGTCCATTTTCACGGAAGTTACTCGTGCGCATGCGCAAAAAATCCATCAGGGGGAAAGTGTGTAAACGCCATGATGCAGCATGAAAATGTGTGTGGAAAAAATCACGTTCAGACCGGAAACTCACACTATGAACAATTTTGTATTTTCTGGGTAATATACGGTGCGAAATTCCGTTTTCAACACTTTAGAAAACTCACTACATGAGTGTAAGTGGTGACTCTTCAAAATGTAGTGACTTGCTGGTGTGTTACCTAGTGCGTGTAGTGAGTATCGGGGTTTTACAAACACACCCTCCCTCACACACACACACACACACACACGCACACACACACACACACACACATATATATATATATATATATATATATATATATATATATATATATATATATATATATATATATATATATATATATATATATATATATATATATATATTCCCATTTTGACTATTTACCTTAAAGATAGAAGTACGGATCCTGCTGCAACCATAATCGTTATGAGAGACCCTATCAAGGCGAAGGAAATATTCTGCCAGGTAGAGCTCGAACCAGATTTACCTAGAGGATCTTCTGGAACGTATATTTGTAAAATCCAAACAAATATCGAGGAGAAAAGCATTTTTGTCATAAAAACAAATTTTAGTGTTGTCAAAGAGTACCCGGTTACCCGGTTAACCGTCGAACGATGCGAGTATCGGTTAGTAAAACTGTTACTCGGTTACTCGGGTATATAAAATTTTACATTTTAGCATGTTTAAATCAGCAGAAAAAAATGAAATTTTGTTTTTAAATTTCCTTACTTTATTTACCGCTATTTAACGATAGACTGACCTAGCGGTTTACAAATACGATCAATTTGTTTTGATAAGTTTTTAACAGTTAAACGTTTATTTAATTGGTGGCTTTCATTGCCAAGGGATATACAAGTTTTGAAGGCTTGAGTTAATTTCAATTACTTCACATAAATCTGTGCTAGTCCGCAGTACAAGATTAAAGAGGACGCCGCCATATGCATCAAAATAATTAAAAAAAAGACTGAATTTAAATCCGCCAGGTGTGAAATATTTGAAATGGAATTAACATATACGGGTAGAACAACAAATATTCTAAACCGCCTAAAATTGAAATTAAACTCTGAAACAAGCGATACATTATAAAGGACATCCCGCAAAACAACAAACTATTACGGGATTTTCGAGAAAGAAAATAATATTTAGAAGATATTTAATACTGTGTGTTTGTAATTAAGAATAAAGTTCATAAGCAGTAGGTCGCCCGCGTGGCGCAGTGGTTAGAGCGTCTGCTCTAGAGTCGCGGAGTAAGGAGTTGATCCTTACGTCGCGGGTTCGAATCCCACTGTGGGACGTGGAGACCGGTCCTTCGGATGAGACCGTATAAACCGAGGTCCCGTATCGCAGTAGGTGCTGGCACGAAAAAGATCCCTCACTGCTCAATGGCCGAGTGCCGAGTGTTTAAGTGCCGAGTATAGGATAAAATTTGCAGCTCTCCACCGGCAAGTGGTGGCGTCTCCATATGAGTGAAAAATTCTCGAGAGGGACGTAAAACAGCATACAAACAAACAAACAAACATAAGCAGTGCATTTTTGTTTTATATATACAAGTATACAAATGATAAAATTTACATAGAAATGGTAACGACGTTACATATACAAAATTCATTTCAGTTACCATTGAGTATATATACCGCGAAAAAGGATATTCTAAGGTCTAAAGAAAACTCATCCGAGTAACCGGTTACTCGTTCGGAAAAGTAAGCGAATAACCGGTTACTAAAAATCGTCGGATTTGACAACCCAAAAAACAATACATCAGTAAGAATAACCTCGTACCTGTCACGACAACAACCTTAAAATGATATGTAGAAGAGTCTTCTGTTGAAATTTTAACATCAGCTGTGTACATACACGGATCAAGGCAATCTTTCACATGAAATCGATTTTGGCTTTTCTTAAGGATGGGATTATCTAGAATGTATTTATTACATTTTCAACAGTAAAATACATTATTCTATTTATTGAAAAAAAAAGTTATATTCTGTCACAGTGTGAAAGGATATCAAAATGATATTCCGTCACAGTGTGAAAGGATATCAAAGCAAGTTAAAAATAATTTCTGACCTGTAATAAGATAGAGTTAATAAGGTATCCTCATATTTCATTCCACATAAAATACCTGTCCCATTATCAATATCAATCACACAGCCATTTACTGGGTGGCAGAGGTGACTTGAACAATCACAGTGCTCCTTACATTTCTTTCCATGGAAACCAGACGGACATTTTTCACTACAGTTCACACCAAACGTTCCAGTCGGGCACTCTGTTTGAAAATCAATGTTTTGAAAGTACTGATGGGATTGATTTTCATGACCGTTTCACTAAAATTCAATGTATGCATCCTTGTTTACAACTTTTCAAATTATGTACACCATTAATGTTCCATAGTTTGGTATGAGAGAATAAAATGTCTAAGAGAATGCTATGATTCTACAAAAGGAAAAAGGTAAGGTCTGTTCTAATTTTTCCATAACTTTTAAATGATATGCGAAAGGGTGTAAGACTCTGCTCAATTCTTTTCAGTAATTTAAGGTATTTTTTCCTTTCCGAAAGTGTGTTTAAAGGTGCTGTAGCAGCTAAGCTTTCACCAGAATCTGATACAAGTTGTGAATTCCATTCTTTTATATAATATTTGCATAAATAATCTTTAATTGCACGTTTAAACTTAAATATGGAAAAGTGGTTTACCTTTTGCTTATTTGCATAGCGGCCATATTGTTTCAATGTGGCAGGATTTTTTTAAAATCCCTTATATAAGGAAAAACAGATATTACTAAAAATATTATCAGTTAAGCATAATTTCTTCCTCATTTAATTCTACCTTTTATTGTGTCCTGGATCGGAATGCACTTATTTACATATAAATGTATACAAAGTATGTTTACAAACAAAATTATTTAGGTATTAGACACAGATTTACATAAATTGATCTAGTATTAACCTTATGAAGTTATTCATTAAAATATTTGATGGATATATAGATTATGAATGAAATGTTTAACGTTGCAAACCATTTCTTCCAGGTTATCAGGTAAATAAATACTTTTGATTATAATTACCAGTATTCGTCTTGGGACAGCCATTTCTAGGATCACAACTTTCTGCTGGACAGTTACACTCTGACAGACAGAGTCTCCCATAAAAACCTTTCACACATTCTTCTGTGCAGTTCATTCCATAAGTACCCAGTGGACACTCTGAAATAATCATGTCACCATAAAAAGGGCCCAAAAAACAACGAAGCCCGAAATAAAAGGGAATATGTCTGAACAATCACACATACATATGTATATAGCAATATCCCGCATCACCTGTGGTGTTTACATCTCCCAACTTATTCGATACCAAAAGCTTCTCCGAGAAACAATTTTTAAAAACAGAGGCAGAATACTGGCAGATAAGTTGATGTGACAGGGATTTCAACATACTCGTTTAAAGTCAGCATTTCGTAAATTCTACGGTCGTTATAATGACCTTGTTAGCAAATAATATAACCTATTATCCTATTTTGGTTGACGTATTCGTTCCAATTCTTTGGCAATTCTTTGTTTTTATACTGAATTTGACTACTTAATGTTCCGTCTACCTGATCAATGCATAGGGCTCATGGCGGATGTGACCGGTGAACAGGGGATGCTTTCTATTCTTAGGCACCTGATCTCACCTCTGGACTTTTCAGGGGTCCGTGTTTATGCTTGACAGGTTTGTATTGTTTATATTTTTTTTTCTGAGATCCATCACTGTTCGTTATTTTTACACTTTTCAATGTTTACAATATGAATGAAAGTTGATGGTTTCTTTTGAGTCTCAAAATTTGAAGCAAAGCTGGATTACAATGACATAGAAAATGTGTTGAAAACGATTGTAAACTTTCAGTTTCTATGATAAAAGTTCCTTTTGAAGATGAAAATCACATTTAAGACAGAATTTAGGAAAAAAATGAACGACACTCCCAGTAGGGAAACTACAGTTCTTTTTTTTCTTTCATATAAAAAGACTGATAATTTCAATTACAAATGAATTAGGATTTTCTGGGTGAAAAATTATAAAAATAATGAAAATTCATTAGCAATGGTTACGTAAGCATTAATTCATAAATTAAGTGTAGAGCATTTTCCCAAACGATGTACTTTGACTGAATTTAAATCACTTCTACTATCTATATTTGTGATCTGAAAATTAATGGAGCTATGCCTGGAAGGAAAAGTCTTCTCAAAAAGTGACTTGGATTCATAGAATGCATTTTGTAAAAGGAGAAAAGACTGAACGAGCACAAGAGTAAAAACAGTTAAATCAGAGGATATATTTTTTCCGTAGCTCACTTCCGCTTCAGTGGGGAGATTTTATCTGCGGCTTTACACATATTAAAGATTCTGAAGCTTACAATGCCAGCTGTGATAATCAAACATGCGCATATATGTACGTAATCATAATAGCTGGGTGTTGAGTTTACTTCAATTGTCTAATATTTACATTTCCAATAAATTTCCCCAATGATTCTTTACAAAATAGAATACAGTTCATTTTCTCATGAATTACCATGTATGGGCATGAATATCTCCATTGTTACGTCATGACACCTCACTTGACGTCAAAACTATAGTGCAAACTCTTTTGCTTTAAAAATGACAGTTGAATGGCGTGTTGCAACCACTATTGAAATAACGACCACTATTGAAATAATTATTTCAATAGTGGTTGAGAATGCATTTCAAAACCAAACACAGCTTGTAACCACTATTGAAGTAATGTTCACTATTGAAACAATTATTTCAATAGTGGTTAAGAGTGGTTAAGAGAGCATTTCAAAGCCTAAACCAAGTTGTCATCACTATTCAAATAACGGTCACTACTGAAATAATTATTTCAATAGCGGTTTTTATACGTGTAACCACTATTGAAATAACGACCTCTGATGTTATAATACTTAGTTTTCCCAAATAGTTGATTTTAATGTATTGTCAAGA